GTTAAACTTTTTAAAATCCATGAAATAATTTAAATTGATAGATTGACTTAAACTTCCCATCACTGGGGACGGGCACTTTTGCTTGTTTTAACATTAACTCAGGGGTACCAAAACCATTATGTAATAACAGTAGTTATACCCATCTGGCTCTTTGTATTTGTATGTATAATATATAGGTGTGTATGCGTGTGTAGTGTCCGCCAAAATACTTGTTGTGTACAATACAGAAGAATAGCAGAATGATTACTGTACCTAGTTGTATTCGATGTCTTCTTCGAAACTGAATACATCATGCTGAAAAGTATAATTAATTGACTTAAATTTTACATTATTTCCTAAACCTTGTGGAAATTATATACAGGACTTACGTATCAAAAAGGGTGCTACCCTTTTTTCTAGCTTTTGATTTAGTGTGTGTGTGTTTTTCTAGACAGACGAAGTATTCGGAAGAAAAATGAATGTGAGATACCTCCTTCAGGTTTAGAGTGAAGATGCTGTTGATATCAGTTATCCTGTGAAGATACCTCCTTCAGGTTTAGAGTGAAGATGCTGTTGATATCAGTTATCCTGTGAGATACCTCCTTCAGGTTTAGAGTGAAGATGCTGTTGATATCAGTTATCCTGTGAGATACCTCCTTCAGGTTTAGAGTGAAGATTCTGTTGATATCAGTTATCCTTGTAGATATATAACACAATAATTTCGGTTTTATTGTGAAAATCTCCATATAAAAGTCACATAAAAGTTAAAATATTCCTACTATAAACCAGTTTCAAAATTTATCTTGATATACAGAATCAATAAACAGTATTAAACCTCTGTTTTTTGTTCAACTTACTTCCATACTTCCAAGGGTAAGATGATGTGTCTGTTAACAATATTAAACCTCTATCTATTGTTCAACTTACTTCCATACTTCCAAGGGTAAGATGATGTGTCTGTTAACAATATTAAACCTCTATCTATTGTTCAATTTACTTCCATACTTCCAAGAGTAAGATGATGTGTCTGTTAACAATATTAAACCTCTATCTGTTGTTCAACTTACTTCCATACTTCCAAGGGTAAGATGATGTGTCTGTTAACAATATTAAACCTCTATCTGTTGTTCAACTTACTTCCATACTTCCAAAGGTAAAATGATGTGTCTGTTAACTGTATTAAACTTCTGTTCTTTGTTCAACTTACTTCCATACTTCCAAAGGTAAAATGATGTGTCTGTTAACTGTATTAAACTTCTGTTCTTTGTTCAACTTACTTCCATACTTCCAAAGGTAAGATGATGTGTCTGTTAACAGTATTAAACCTTTGTTCTTTGTTTAACTTACTTCCATACTTCCAAGGTAGCTGTTATCTTAAGGTCTGGACTCTGTTATCCAGTTTTATACGAAACAACTCCGTAAAAGCCGGGTTTTCGTCGTTTTAGAAAGGTGAGCGCTTCGCGTCTCGGTTAAGAGCGAACCTCTGTGACGGTTCGCACATTTCCATTGGAACCAAACTCTGCAGAACAACCGATTGTGTAAAAGTGAAATTCCTCGAGAAAACTTTGAGAAGTAAGATAAAACTCTCCCCTCCTCCTACCTGCTGCACTGGGCTCCAAAGAATCCTGTAATTAACCATTCTTGACAGGCCCTGCCTCGCCGAGGTTCCGCTGAATGATACGGAGAGGAGCGGCAACTCACGACGACGATGGCTGTCCTAGTCACGGCAAGCTGGGGTCGTCTAGGCCAGTCCGGCTAATTACTTACCCTAGCCTGGAGCGTCAACCGATACGGGCCCAAATACGTGCTGGAGGAGATCCACAGCAAGACAAAAAAAAGGAAACCAAGACCTGCACTTTAGAGATAATTAAGTTGTTTTTCTGTGAATTTACAAAAAGGAAAAAGAAATAAATATAATGACGAATTAATAACAAGGCTGTCCCTTCAGTGAAAATAATAGACTTCTTTAGTCTTCCAATATTGGGTTATATCCAGTGTGTGAAACCCTGGTTTCTCCTTTGGCGTAAAAAGCAAGACTACAGTCAAATCAACGACAGATTTCTGAAACTTCGTCTGGTCTGATTAGGCATAAGAATGGCCGGTAAGAGACTACGAGAAATGACATTTTGATAACCACGGATAGAGCTGAAGATTGCGAAAATGTTGAGGAAAGAATGAATGTTTAAGTTATACAAATAATACAATCTATATTTTACAGGTAACCATGGTAACAGTCAACATCTCATAGCGAAATCGATTCAATCAAGCTAATAATAAACACCTCTATGCATAAAAGAATATTATTTTTTAATAAACGATTAAATACGTATCTTTAGCCACGTGAAGTTGTATCTTACAGTTGTGATGCATGTTTGTTTTAGTGCAAAGCCACAACGGGCTGTCTGCTGCGTCCGCCGAGCGGAATCGAACCTCGGATTTTCAGTTCTGATGTCGGACGTGACAAGAGATTTGGTTAGCTGTTACTACCCATCTCCCTTAATGTAAGAGTTACACTTAGCGTATCTTTTTAGTGTAGTTTTATGCTCTGGACTTGGAACTCTGGGTGTAATTTTAACTATATCTCTATATACACACACATGAACGCATCAAAGAATAAAATACAAGAACAAGGTGAGAAAACGCACTGAAACAAGACAACAAACAAAAACAGCGTACTTACGTTAAAGAGCTCGCTCTCAAGGCTGAAGACAATGCACATGACACAGACCGATAGAATAAAACCAATAGCTTTTCACCAGTGAGCGCTTTCTCTAGAGATGATTTCAAAGTCGCTGTATTTTTGTTTTTCTCCCGATCCACAACGAAATTTTAAGGGGAACCACTCCAGAGTGAGTTAGTGAACTTTAAATAATACTCGGAACGTGAAAACATTGCCTTAAGTATGTTATCTTCACTTTCAAAGCAAGCCGTCTAAGTGTTATGATAGCTAAGTGTCGTTATCAAGTTATATCAACACAGTCCCCCAGACTTGGTTGCGCACAATCTTACAGATGCTTTCAGTCTTTTGAAGCCTAAGAGAACCTCATTAACCCCTCCTCTTCTTTTCGCCTCATTCAATCACCAGATGAGTTTGTCTGTTGGCAAAGAGGTTTAAAAATATTACAATACTTATCCCTGAGAACTGTTTACTTGTACAGTTGAAAGAAAAAAAAACAGTTAAGCCTTATTTACGTAATACACGAGATGAACATTGCTTTTTAGGTTTTGCTAAAGAGAGTTTTATCGCTACACAAAATGGACAGCTTACTAGGTCCTCAAGGTCCTATCTGTTAGCAGTCAGTCGCTTTGCGCTGAGCGATGTCCAAGTAAACTGTGGGGCAAGCTTCTAAAGAGAGCGGACAACTTTCCGGAGCCTAGCTGCGCAAGCGGCTTTGTCAATGGGCAATCCCACAGCTTATTGTAGTGTAGCGACATCTGGTGGGTTACTTTGATAATTTTATTAGGCTCTGAGCAGATAATGCAGAGAATTCTGCCACACACCCGAAGGCTTTCTACGGCACGCACGCACGAAGTGCACGAGCTATAGGACTGAGCTTTCCGAGGCTGTTGGAGACGGTTGTTTTTATCAGCCAAGTTCTCTGTCTTCATGGGGAATCTAGAGATCCCCTATAAGCCATATGTTGTTGTCGGACAGGAACTGTCTGTCGGTAGCTAGCTCAACATAACCATTAATACCTGCACCTGACGTCAGCTTTTAGAAAGCTCTCTCTTAAGGCAGATAGTATCGAGAAATGAGCATTTCGTGTGTAGTTTTTTTCCATTATTTTGCTGTTCTTTTGATGGTAATGGTACGGGACACATACATATATATATATATATATATACTAAATAAAACCATTTTTCATTAGTTTATTTTTAAAGTTGTCTCATGTTTTATTTACATATTTCCTATATATTTCCTTACGCCATTAAATATCACTTGTAAGATATATTGAAATTATCTCTTCTTTAGCTTACTCCAGACTAATAACACCTTTATCCAGACTAATAACACCGTTAATCACTATGCTACACTCAACTCAAAGTGTCGATGAAATTGTACTCTAAAGGTGTTATTAGTCTGGATAAAGGTGTTATTAGTCTGGAGTAAGGTGTTATTAGTCTGGATAAAGGTGTTATTAGTCTGGAGTAAGGTGTTATTAGTCTGGATAAAGGTGTTATTAGTCTGGATAAAGGTGTTATTAGTCTGGAGTAAGGTGTTATTAGTCTGGAGTAAGTTTCGGGTTGTGAGTCGACAGGTCCAATACTCAAAGTCCGAAACATGCCACTGAACACGCACCGCTCTATCTATCACCTATGGGTGTTTTCTTTAAAAATTACATTTATTTCCACTGGCCGGTTAAGGGTAGCCTTATAGGTGGCGGTTGTAGAGAACTTCCCATCCTCCCTCTATTCATTAGTCCAAAATTAGAGGCGGGCATGTTTGAGTCTCAGGGTCTTTGATCAGGACATTTAACCTTTGTGTCGCATACCGAATAACAGTTATCGGTTTATTACTTTTACTATATTTTATTATCTTTACATTTTCATTCTTAAACATCAATACTCGTTAAAATATCTAGGAATTGAAAAGACAATTTGTTAGGCTGAAACTATTTTGTAATAATTAATTATTGTGTTTTTTAGTTCACACTTGGCTCTAAATTTCCGACAAATGTTAATTAAAACTCAGGAAAGTAAGTTTGAAGTAAAATTACCGTCTACACGAAACCGTAATAATATGTTCCATTGTAAATTAAGCCACAAACAAGTTAAATTCTTTTCTTATATAATCAGTTGCTGGAATATTCGTTTGTGTACAACTGTTAAATCATCCAGTAGTATTCGTTTCGATCCAATTGAGCTCATGTTCAGTTTGATCTTGTATTTAATGAATCATTAGGTCATTGTGAACTCCGACTCAATGAATGAGTTTACCAGATTGATCATTTTTTTTTTACAAATCATTATAAAACGGCTTCTAGTCATTATGAATCCAGTTTTTTGTCATCATAAGAATTGTTTTTAGTGGGAGCTGTGTATGGGTGCTTGAGTACCCCCGAAAATTACTGATGCGAGTGCTAATAAGGATCCAGAAGTTGTGCAAAAAATACACCATCAATCATTTAGAAAAGTTGGCGCTAATGATTCTAGTTCTATTGTACTCCGACTTAGAACCTATCATAAAGATTGGTTATAGTTCTATTGTACTCCGACTTAGAACCTATCATAAAGATTGGTTATAGTTCTATTGTACTCCTACTGAATGTTCTATCATAAGGATTAGTTATAGTTCTATTGTACTCGGACTTAGAATCTATCATAAAGATTGGTTATAGTTCTATTGTACTCAGACTTAGAATCTATCATAAAGATTGGTTATAGTTCTATTGTACTCAGACTTAGAATCTATCATAAAGATTGGTTATAGTTCTATTGTACT